TAATATTATTACTTAATGTTATCATTCTTACAAATGTATTTTTATCACCAGATAAATACAAATTTTGGTCTGCAGCTTCTTATAATGTCTGTTATATCTTTGAATGCTATAATTTTTCTCCTGCATGGTATATATTATATGAACACAGACGATAGCGGTATGGATATATTAATAACTCGTCTAGTTTTGATATTCTTCTATGTTCTTCGATTTCTATATATCAGTTATATTTGTCAACGAGCCAGAAATGAAGTTGAGTATTTATTTACTTATACAGAACAACCGTTTGTCCTTAAAATACCGTGTTCTTGACATAATTCTAAGACTATTTTTCCTTTACCAAAATTTTATCTGAAGTTTAGTTTTTAAGTTATAAGGAAAAATAGTTAGCAAATTACGGGACGCACACACAAGGTAGGCAGGAGCGGCGCAAGTGACTGTCCGACGCGGGCGATTACTACGGACGCTCAGCTGCTCACTACACGCGATAACGCACTGACGTACATGCACGTGTGTGTGTGTGTGTGTGTGTGTTGTGTGTGAGAGAGAGAGAAAGAGACACACAACAAATTTATTCTTATCTTGATTCGATGTCTCGTAATGATGTAGTAGGCTTAAAAAAGTTCGATAACTTTTCCGTGGATAACAGTAAGGGGACACGTTCCCACACGGCGACAAACAAATCACTTGGAGTAATAAGTTGACAGTTTTTCCTTTTATAAATTGAATTATCACAACACTTTCGCGCACTTACTCGATTTACTTACGCGATTTATTCACGTACTTAATTTATTTTCGAACTAATCTATCGGTTCCATTATTAGTTAATTACTATCGATTAAGTATTCGGCGGCTGAAAATTACTCGGAGAAAGAAACACTACACATTACACTAATCAACTAAAAGTATTGCTTTTGTATAAATTGTATCTTTCACTTTTACTCACGCACTTGATCGATAAAAGTTACGCACTCAAATAATTCCGTATTATTACAAATCAATGTTATTACTATTAATCACTATCCGTTACTCATTCGGCAACTTAAAATCACTTTAAAGGAAGAAACGCGTTACAGTACACGTTACTCGACGCGGAGACTTTGCTCGACAGCAACAAACAGATAGGGTTATGTTGGTACTAGCGCTATCGTCTCGAAAGCGAAAGTGAATCGGTCCATATATGGTATGGTTATGTTTGCAGCGCTGCAGTCGAAACGCGACATGTGATTAGTTGAAGTCAGTCGACTGCGTCGACTGCTTGCTATTGTCGAGTGAACGCCTCGTATGTCAGTAAATTGTCGCGTGTTTCTTTTTTTGAGTGATTTTTCAGTGGACGGATAATTAATCGACAGTGATTGTAAAGTACATAACGGATATTAATTAGTAGATACATTAATAGATTTCTTGTGATTTCTTCAAATGAATAGTTTGTAT